CTGAACTCTTACGCAGTAACTCAAATCTCAGCTAATTATGACCCAGTTGTAAAGTTATAAACCCTTGAAAAACAAGGTTTATAAGAGAAGTATTGACACAGTCTTAACTATAGCTGTGTGAATGGAGCCACTGTAATATTGTTTGGAAATACTGTTCTAAAAGGGAATCTTTTATGAAAAGAGATGCCAGCTGTTCACTTTGGAAACATTTATTTCATTGGCTCATGATAAAATTGGCTGTGGAAGATATTCTGAAACACAGCAACTTTTTAATTCCATTACAACCTGAAATTGCTGGGAAAAACGTAACTCCCAGGGGCTGTGAAAAAAAGGATTTTGATTGTATCTGTTACTGTATATTGCCTTTGAAGAAATACACTAATTTTCTTAGCGTAATTCAGGTTGGACAAGTCCTCACAATATCATCCAGTCCAACCCCTTGCTTGAACAAGGAGAAAAGACATTTCAGGTTTTGTACAAAGGGTTCCTTTTTGTAAAAACAATAACAGGCTTTTAAAAGCTTGCTTTTAAAATATATTTTTTTGCCTTTGGCAGTAGTTTGCCCTATGAAARCCACTTGATTTAGTTTGAGGAGACAGAACTGCAAGCTTGGTTAGTACCACCGACAAACCCAAGCATGCCCCACAGTCCAAGATCACACATCAATAGCTGGTTTTAACCATAAGAAGCCAAATCTAAATAGAAAAGTGAGACCAACTGAGAGAAACAGAGCGGAGTCTATCACACTGACTGGCACATGGAGATCTGCCATGTGGAGTCTCACTTCAGAGCAGAGAAAGTTGAGGGGTCTTGGAATGAGATCCGGAATTTGTGAGTGCTGGCAGGAGAGAGAACGCAGCTGAAAATGGTGCCCCGGTGATGTTCTTCCATAGGGTGCCAAAGCTACCCCTGAAAAATGAGATCTGGCCGGAGCCTCCTGTAAATTGTATAGAGATCATTCATCTCCAAGCACCCCCTTGCCCCAAGATAAAGGAAGAGGTGTGGAGCRGTTCAACTTCGTACATGCTCATTTAGAGTCTAGGTGCATTTGAATCAAAAGACCTGAAATGACAGGTGATGTTATATCCTATTATAGATCATATTTTAGTGGTGTAATATTCTTGGATGTTCAAAGAGGGGGAAAACCTCTCCTTACTTGAGTTACTTTACTTTAAATTACAGTGCAGCACTAAGACACGGACCAATGTGTATTCATTCCTTATTGCTGCACCTTTTTGTCCTTGAATAGAGCTGCGTGAACTGCTTGTGCTGGCCGGTCTCTGCTGCTATTACTGGCTGTAATCTCCATCCTTCGCCATGTCACTGAACTTCCATCACCAAAGGCTTCATTAGCAATTATTGTTTTTGGTGGAAAAAAAGAAAAAGTCCTACACCACATATTATAGGATGACCTGAGGCCGTTATGGAACTGAGCGTTCCCAAAAGGATAATCTAGGCACAATATATCACAGTGCTGAGAAAATATCCTTTGTCTCAGGTCGTGTAACCAATGTGGCTGTTAAATGTTTTAAAAGCAGTTATATAACTGGCATTTAAAATGTTTTATTGAAAACCCTTAATGCTACTGTAACTAAAATGACCTTTAACAGAGTAAAACACATTCTAACTTAAAATGGGATTTGATTAAAAATATCAAATGTTATAATGTGCTTGTGGCTGTACATACTGTCTTACCAACCGCAGAAGCTGGCTCTGGCTTTTGAATGTTATATTCATCTTAAACCTGTAAAGAAGTGGCTTTACAAGAACTGACTGTTAAAAACTTTTAAACACTTCATTCAATATTCGACATATAAGTGGTTTATTGTTGGTTTTTTTTTAATTAACAGGTGGTATCTTTTAAGGCAGATGTTCCTAGATGGAGAGCATCTGATGTAGGAGGTGTTGGCTGATGATTGTCACCAGCTTCTCTTCTCATCCTATGATGGGATTTTTTTCTCTTTCTGAGTAAAAGAAAAATAAAAAAAGAAAATGGAGAGAAGAAGAAGAAGAAATGACCTGCTCCCATTGATCTCTAGAGTTATAGAAGAAACCACAAGATTGCGCGAAGGTAGAGAGGTGGATTTAGATACTAATGCAGGGAAAGATTACAATAAAACTTTCCTTATGTTAAGAAATTGCTCACCTTAGAAACAATTTAGCCCCACAGAGCAAATTTACATGTAAAAATTTACTGAATGTCATGTGGCAAGTCATTAACTGCTGAAGTCTGGAGTTCTTAAATACAAAGACAGCTGAATAGTCAAGAGTGGAAATGTTCTTGGATTCAAGATAACAAAGCTATAAGTAGAATAGATATACAACTGAAAAAAATAAACAACTGAAATGAGAGATACTTTAGCGAAAAAAAAAAAAAAAGAGAATTGCTTTGTCTGTGACAGTCTGGCCTTCTGACAGAGCACGGTCTTTCTCTCCCTTTCAAATTCTCTTAAGAAGAGAAGGTGAGAAAAACCCTACTCAGACCCATGAGAGCAAAAGACCTCTTCATCTTTCTACTTACCTGTCTATAGCTCTTTGCCCTTCCAGCCCCATGAGTGTGCACATTATTCATTCCAAATGGATAATTACTCTTCTCCTTATTTTACAGCTAGGAAGTTGAATCATACAGGAATAAAACAAGGTGTCCAGGGCCACGGAGATAGCCTGTGATAGTCAGGAACTGAGCAGAGCCCTCGACACGTAGCAACCTCTACTCCCAGGCCTGTGCAAATATCTCACACATACTGAACTGATACGAGTAGGGTGGGCAAGGTTTCTGGAGCAGGATTCAGGATCCCAGAGGATTAATTTGTTACTAAAGAGGACAAAAATTTGCTGATAGAGTGAGTGTTCATACATGAATTGAACAAGCACGTGAACAGAGCAGACTTGCAGCTTTGAAAAATCCATGCAGAAAGGCTGAACTTAGCTTATTACAGGTGTCTGGGAAGCAATTGGCTAGTAGGAAAAGCTTTCTTTAAAAAAAAAAAATAGAGGCAGAGCCACAAACTTTAAAACTGACTCAACCAAATAGCCTAGTGTCATTCTACTAATTGAATATTCAGGATTTACTTTAGCAGCAGCTGGAGCAAATATGGAGTAGAGGAGGGTCCTCCAGGGAGGCAAAGCTCCTGGGTGCTGCTCTTTGGGAACAGGCTGCAGAGGAGTAGTGGTGAGAGAAAGGTTGACTAAGTGAGAGCGCTTGGGACTGGGAGTGATCCAGAGCCCTGGAAAAGCCTGAAGCAGCAGAGAGGAAGGATGAAGAGCATGGGCTGAGTGAGGAAGCTTTTTTGTAACAAATACAGCACTGAAAAATACTGTTTGAGATGGGGAATGATGTTCCAGGTGTAAGAATGTCTCTCTATGGGCTGGAATTTGACTGTGAGTACTGTGGAAATTGGCAGGGTGAGGCTGGTTTGGTGTTCTTATTACTAAATAGCTGGCATACCTAGAAAGTGCTTAACTTCTAGAGTCACTAGGGGCATCTTTGGAAAATGCTTCCAGGTAACAGGAAGTTAAATGTCCTATTAAATGTGTTTAAACAAAAAACTTGGTGCTCCAGAGATGAGGGATGGCTCTAGTGCAGGGTTACAATTGCACAAGAGTTCTTGAAGTCGTAATCCAGTACTAGAGAGGGAAGTGCTTGGGAGACTGAAAATGAATGCGATGATTCCAAATGGGAGGCTCCTGCTGAACAGCCAGGGCTGTGCAGCATTTGTGCTCACTCAGAGCAGGACTTCTGAGCCAGAGAGTTYAAATTACTTGGCAAAGCGAGGGCAGTGGAATTGCGTATGTGAAGAATGACTGCGTAGGTGGGAATGTTGCAAAACCCTAACCAAAAGGAGAAGGGAGATGTAGGAAGAATGGACTGTAGTGTTGTTTAAAATTCATATATGTGAGTAAGAAGAAATAGGAAGAACTGGGGAAATGGAACAAGCAGAAGCAATAACAGCCCTGAAGGAAGAGCTGCGGAGGCTCTGAATAAAGCAGTGGGCACAGAGATCGTGGTCTCTCTATGCAGCTGAGGGGCTGGGACAGGGAAGACGGTAGTCAGTGAGCTTATAGTGCATTAGTCTTTTCAGTGCCTTCGTAATCATGAGTAGTAACAACAAAACAGGAACAAAATAGATCTAAGAAGTATCATTGTGGAGCAGGGGAACCACTAGGTTTCCGGTGGAACTTAACTCTGAAAGGAAAACTTGAAATAACCCAGAGAACAGTAAATCCTGGTAAATGTTTAGACACTAAGTGTCCCTCTCTGATGTGCAGTTCAATCCCCCTCCACTACAGGGCCCTGGGGTGGAGCTGGCAATTAATCTGCAATTGCTTGGGAGGGAGCAGTTCACAGCTGAAGGGGCTCTGTGGATTATAAATTTAGCAAGCAAAATGGGAAGTCAGAGCACTAGTAATAAAGGAAGTGCCAATAGTTAAAGCTATAATCATCATGACTCTGGGGCAGATAATCAACACCTCTATGGCAATTTTCAATTTGATAAATAAAGCTTACYGAGTTGCCTAACAACGCCATTGAGCTGTGATAACAAGTGGCAGCATTATGTAACTGTGACAGCCAGGCAAGGAGCGGGGAGAGCAATGTATATATATTTCCAGCTGTAGTTACTGAAGGCGCCTGCGGGATGGAGGCCCATCTTTGCAGTTCTCAGAGAGAGCACACCATGATCCCTTTAAGGTATTCCTCAGCAAGACCCCAGGGATCTGCATGCCAAAGAAAGTGAGGATTGGGCAAAGGCAGGTTTCCCTCCCCGCCTCCTGAAAGGGGCAAGAACACCAGATCCTCGCCGCGCTTGGTGACGCAGGGGGACCTGGAGGCACAGCTGGCCTCGAGTGCAGCCACCAGCGTGGAGTTCTGCACTGCCACGTTCGTGTGCTCGCATTTGCCATAGCAACCTTCACATCACGTTTAACACACAGAGACAGCCCTCCTCTTGCCTGTTTAAAGAGCCCTTGTTAAGTGGTTTTGCTGTATTTTAGATGCCAAGATGTCGGTAAGATTGATGGAAGGCTGCACAATCAAACTCGCTAGGAGTGCCTAGCATCTAGCTCATTATGTAAGAGAATTAGCAAGGCATTTCTTTTGACATGACAGTCCATTATGGCAGCTGTCAATCATACCCTAGCATATGCTTTTTTTTGGTCCTCTTTGGTGATAATTTTTTTAAGAGGTTGCTCCGTTGCTGTTCYCCAGTAAGGCAGAGCTTTGTGTTTGCAGACGGTGGCTGTTATTGATGAGATGGGCAGCCCTCTCTCCGAAGTAATCGCTGTGTGAACATATGCGTGCAGGTGCCATCCTTACTGGTGGGGCTCTTTGTTCTGGGTGCATGTCTACAGAGCCTTGAAACTGCTGCTGCTTCTCACCCATCCAACAGCTTTGGTCCTTCTGCATGAGGTGTTGTAGCTGAGACATTTCTGTGCAGGGGTTTGGTCCCAGAGGAAAAAATGCATCCAGGGGACAGTTATATTTACTTGTGATCTTTTCAGGACAGGAAAGAAAAGCTTGTATGAAGAGAGTCCACCTAAGATGACGGGGATCCTGAGAATAACATTCATGCCTCTAGCACCTTTCACAAGAACACTTCCACATACCTAACAGAGCTTAATGAACTAAGCCTAGAAGGTGTTTGTGTTGTATTACTGTGGCGCGAAGGGGGAAATGGAGGCACAGGGAAGTAAAATAATAGACTCTCAAGTTACTGACTCCAGTTCAATATCCTTCCACAGCTGAGCCCTCTCCTACCAATTAGTCAGGAAGGAACTGAGATGGAAAGGAAAGGAAATGACTTTTGGGGAAGGCTCTTTCATCTCTAAAAGAATGTCTAAGCACTGGGCAAAAAAACTCGGGAGGATGAACTGCCTCTGAAAAATAGAGGAGCTCATCTGCAGAGCTGTGTCTTGACTGGTGTGCCCATTTGAGAGTGATGATAGCTGGCAGCAGTGCATACCAGGGAGCCTGGGAAGTGAATGCAGATAAAACAATAGGGCATTTGCAAACAAAGAGTATGTTTTAAGGTAGAATTGGGCATCTTTTTATGTTATTTTTAAGTAAAAACACCCCCCAAAATGTATGATACAGGATAAGGTTTATAATCTATAGCTGTATATTTGATATATGTAACTCTATCAAACAGTATAGTTGAGATATATACTTTCAAAATTGCACACAAAGTAACCCAAAGCATAGATAAATTAAAAAAGAAGTTTCTCTGTTGCCTATCCTGGCAACATTTTCCTCCTTCATTTTCTTTCTTGGTATCTCTCTCCCCAGAATCTTCCAGGGTAATATGAAAAACAGCTACTTGAGTACTGCTGTGCCAATAGGAAGGAGGTAGCACAGATGCTCCAGTAAAGATGAATGTATGAAAGGGAGCTAGCTCAATGGGAAAAATAAGCTTCAACGTGGTAAACTGTTTAGTCTTGGTTATCACCTTAATTAGTGTAAATTGGAGGTGGCATGACACTTTACCAGTACAGGTTTCATTGAGAGATAATTTTCTCAGGAAATGTATACATTAGGAAAAGTCTTTTAAAATGTTCTCCAATTTCTCTCTTCTAAATCTGTCTGGATAAGGGTATAATGTATGATATAAYGTATGACTATTTAAATAATCTATTCATTAGCCTTGAGATAATGAACATGTTGCTTGATTTTTATGCTGTTGCTGGTAGCCACAGCTAGGTTTAGAGACTGCTAGTGTGTGCACTGCATAAATATAGATAAATGATGTCCTCTGCCCCAAGGATCATACAGACTAAGGCTTCTGTCCTGAAAATTGCTAAGGCAAATGTTTTTGCCTATGCATTTCTGCAGTGATTTCAAGGGGGGCTCCAGAGATGCCAAGTTTCAAGCGAAATCCCTGGAGAGCAGGTCTTGGGCAGCGAGTATTGTAGCTGCTGCCCATAGTATTTTGTACACCTGCATGCCTGGATTGAGCAGCACTGACTTGCCTGACGCTATTTCTATGCACAAGTATTTGTGTCTAGCCCTTTCTAATGCAATTCTTTTCCTTGTAAAAGCAAATAAATGATGCCCAGAAATATGAGTCTACCAGCTGTGTCCTAGCTGGTTACAGGTTAGTTTTTCCACTCCATGGTATGATCTGATAGTTCCTTGAATAAATACTTTTTTTTACGGTTCTTTCTGAAGAAAGAAAGAGAAGCCTGGAACTTGTTAAACAACTTGCAGGACGTGTCTTTCTGCTGTTTCATCCTGGACCGGCCACGTGGTGACTCTTCCCCGATCCAGTCTTCAATGAAATCAATGGGAAGCATTCTGTTAAATTCAGTGGGCTTCAGATCAGATGCTGCCACTAAAAGCCATCATATAAGCAGTCTGGTCTTTGTAATATCTGCTATAATAGCACAGCATGGTCGCAATCCTACAATCTGAGTCTGTGAAAATCCCCATTGATTTCAATGAGACTTCTCCTTAACTAAAGATTTCGCAATTAGGTAATGAGGAGCAATGAGCGTGCGCTGCCCTCTCTATTAGATCCTGTAGTCTGACTACTTCTGTGGGCTTGTGCAAAGTGCTTGTTCCGTGGCGATCTGTGCTTGCAGCAGCACCTGCTCTGCTAGTCTCTCGATTCTTCACTTAACAAAACAGCTTGACACTGCAGGTGAAAGATTTTGAGATGTTTTAATTAACTAGCTTGAGCACCGTCTGATTTTTATCTCCCTGGATGTTTCAGAAATTCTGCAGCGCTCGTTTCCTTGGCTGCCATCAAATAAAAATCTAATGTATGAAAGAGGCTTTTGCAGGTGGAAAGTACATTGTAAAGTTTATAATGGGGCACATATCAACAGTGGGTTTGGGCAGCTCTTTGTGACTGGAAGACTTGACTGGTGAGATTCCTCAGGCTTCAAGAATAGTTTTAGAAATTATGGGCCAAATCTTACAGCTCTGATTTAGTCAAAACTCCCATTGATATCAGAACTTTTAGTTTGGGGGCTTATCTTGAAGGTTGAGAGAATGAAATAAAAGATCAAGGGGAAGAGCAAAAACCCACCAGGCAGGGTTTAAACTGTTCATTTTTCAGGATATACAAGAATATATGTTTCAAGGGCTGGCACTGTACAACGCTCGGAGCCAAAGGATCTCTCAGACACACAAAGAAATAATTCTTGTAGGGCTGTTAGTTTGGGGAGGACTGATTTGTTTGCAGGTATCTGCTTCCCTGGCCTGCAGGATTTGGTAGGAGGCTTCTGCCAGCAGTGAAGAAAGTGCTGGCTAAATAAATATTGCTCAAGCTGGAAGGGGAAGAGGAGAATTAGTGGTGTGATGGGAGCAAGCCTTCTGAAGGGTGTTGCGGGCCGATGGCATGATTGATGTCGATGTTAAATAAGGCTCTTAAATTGGTGGCCGTGTGACTGGATTTGGCTGACAAGGGGATGGGGCACCAACCTGATAACCTGCATTTTTTTTTTTGTTCTATTTATTTTTGTAACACTGACAATTTTTTTATATATAATATATATATATAAAAGCTGGATTTCAATTTGATTTTTTTAATAGTGATTTTTCATAATGGTATTTGTTGTTGTCACTGGGTTGTCTTCTTTTTTCTGAGGCTTTGGTGTCTCTCTCTGCTATTGTTGTGGGTATTTTGGTTTTTTGGTCCAGACAATAATGCTAAAAACACACCTTTAGTAGAAGTGTGAAAGCTAAACTTCTGCCTCCTCAATCAGAAGCTTTGTGAAAGTTATCCGATAGCACACCCCTTACACCAGGAGGAAAGCACAGCAGTTTTACCGGTGCTTTGGCAGAGCTGCAGGATGTGTCTGYGGGATCCGGGATCTGAGCGCGACCCGGTTTGAGCAGGATGCCCGTGAAATGCTCCGTGCCCAGCAGGAACAGGGCAACACCGGCCATGAGCAARTCCCTGACGACTGTCAAAGCTGGGGCAGGCCGCTGCGGTCCCRAGGGGGTTGTTAAACCCGGTTTGTTTAACCAGGTATCTCTGCCGAGTCAGCAGCGCAGGGCTGCGGTTGCCTCTCCTGCCCTGTGGCAGCCCGGCCTTTCTCAGTGCCTCGTCCTTACTTCCACCTCGGGCAGGTTCATTTGCGCCGCCTTTCCTTGAACGGCCTCCATCTGTGGCGTCAGGCGGGTTTGGGGCCGGGCAGGGCCGTTCCGCGCTGGGCCGTCCTCCGCGCGGCCCGCTGCCGGGCGCGGGGCCCTCTCTGCCAGCGGCCGCTCCGTGGCCAGGCTGAAGCCGCCTTCACTTTCGTTTCTCTCCCAGGCCAAGCACACTGTTCCTCCTCATCGTGTTCGCAGTTTCACATGTGTTTGGAATACAGCAGTTATATAAGACACTGGTTTGAACTGTGAACTGTCAGGGAAAACTTTCTTCTTTTTTGATTTCTTTCTTTTTCCTCAAGCCTGGAAGTACTTACAAGTGTAAGTTCTTTCACTTTATTTCTGGTTTTGTGGGTTTGTTGGAATACTAACCAGGATATTGACTCAATCAGAAACAGACGAGGCAATTCAAAATTAGACCCTTTTTGAGGGAAATGATGAAATCGAGATTTTATCAGTCAGAGAATCAGGTCCTGAATCCAGATGCCAGTCCTCAATCCCTTCCTCGTTTTTGAGTGCACGCCTTTTCTGCCAGTCATTTCTTCCACTGGGGTCGCAGGTCATATTGTCTCGATGTGCTCTCCTTGAAACATCTTTATTAACACCATGGAGTCGTTAGCTCCTCTTGAGTCACGTGGCTGGCAGGGAGGCCGGAGCGGGGTGCTCGCTGGGTGCCGGTTCACAGGCCTTGGCTACCCGCCTTTGGCGGGTGCCATTGAGGACCCCAGGGGCTAGGCCCATCGTCAGGAAGGTGTCAGGGTGCTCAGAGGCAGCCCTGGCCCCTCGGCGTGAACCCCAGCAGTGCCCCACACTGCTGCTGCAAAGCCAGCGCCCGACTGCAGACCCTGTATGGTGTGTTTGCTGCTCTGGCACTGCCTTTCAGCTCTCGGGGGATGGAGATCACTTAAATTAACG